TTTGTTTTAGTTAATGTAGCATATACAATTGCTAAATGATTTAGAATGTCATAATTATGGACATTTCCTGTGGAAATGCTTTAAGAACATGTATTTCCATTATCCTATTTTTAGTGTATTCCAGTTGATAACAGTGAAATGGTGTTTTGTAAGCTTGATTTTTTTCTCTTTCAATATCTGGTCGCAGAGACTGTTACGCTAAAAATGTTTACTCAAAGATCATAAACTTCATTTTCCTTCTTGCTGAAGTTCTTTGTTGTAATAGTTCATAAAAAATGTTTATTAATATTAAAAAAAAAAATATTGTATGGTAAATTTGAAATTTGCTAAAACAGTAGATCTTAAGTGTTCCAACCACACATAAAAGTGCAATCATGTGAGGTGAAGGATATGTTAACTCGCTTGATGGTGGTGAATTTTTTATAATGCATACAAATATAAAATTATCAAGCTGTAGTCCTTCTTATATATAAATTTCATTGTAAACTATACCTCAAAGTTTGTGGGGAGGAGTTACAAAGAGAAAACAATATATATAAGAATATAAGCACAAATTTCAACAATAGTTTTCAATTTTAATTGTCAACATTAGTACTAACTCAATAAAAATAAAAGATAAAAATATGGAAAATTCTTTGTTATTATTAAAATTCTTTCTCATTATTCATTCAAGCCTCTTCTGTGCAGGCTTCTCTGAGGACCCTAGATAGACCTAGGCATTGTCTTCTTACATGTTCTGACATTTATATACACATACTTTTATATGGTGATTATAATACTGAGTTGTGATTTTTGCCATTACTATCTTCCCAGAACTATGCACTCTGATAGCTCTGGGCAAGAATAAGGAATATTTTCCCTATATGTTCAGTGCCAGAATTAGCATTTAGCAAGAGAACAATAATGTTAGTAGACAGAGTAAGTAAATAAATTGCATGATTTACTCAGTCATTGTTGCTGATTGTTACCTGATTCAGAGATACAGCTTGATTTCTTCTTGGTTGGTCTTCCACTCCAATCAGTATTTATCTCCTTCTACATAAACAAAAATATAGATTCTTAAAAACTTTTTTTCTAGAATTTTAACATTGTCTATTATTTCTATATTTAAATTATGCATACATTTTAAATTTTTATTTTAAGAATTTAAAATTTTTAAACTTATCTTAAATATCAATTTATAAGAAATGTGCACCTTTTACTATGTTTCTATAATATTTATTATTGTCGAAGGGTACCCACAAGACTATCCATATATTAATAATTTTCTAAGAGTTTGAGACTCAGCCTATAGTTGTAACTCACATCTAGGATTTATTATAATAAAAAATACACAGCAGAAAAAGTAAGGGCTAAGTATAGAGAAATCCACGCACAATTTTCCTTATTTTATGTTTCTCCCTTGTAAGAAGATAAACGTGAGTGTATTCTTTTTCTAACAATAAAAAACATAATAATATTATTACAATGTTCCTACCCAAGGAAATACATACAAAATTTATCACCTGATGATTTTTTTAAAGGAACCCTATACAAGATCATATTGTTTTCACTTTCCAGGTACAGTGAACCACTCTTATTAGTAATGAACGTAAAGCTTCCCCAGTCATCTTCCTAAACACCAGTCAAAGGCCAATCATATAAGAAGGCTCCTTTAAAGATAGTAGTTCCAAGGCTGCTTTGTTACCTCTTTTCTGCAGAGTAATATTCAGTGATAACCTCCAATTCACTATTTGTGGAATGAACTAATTAACAATGAAATTAATCCTCTCAAAGGGAAGAAAATGAGTGTTTTTGTTTGTTTGTTTGTTTTTAACAAAACAACAGAAAAAATTTAAGTAGAGCTAGAAGGCAAATAATAGATTCTCTCAAAACATGGAATTTGGTTCTTTAGACTTTTCTAGGAGCCCAAACAACTCCAGGGAAGCAAATTCCTTGTAATATATTTATTTTTTATTTTTTTTCCTTATCCTGTGTAAGAGCTAAAAATAGGCTACAAGAAATACATTTTCTGACAATGGTAGACTGGAAAATATTTTATAATACTTAAAAATATTCATTCTGTTTTTCATAATAAGTTAGGTATCTGTTAACATCTGATATTCATTTGAGATTCATATGGATATTAATTTAATAATATACAGATTACCAAAAAAGGAAATGATAAAATGCATACATAGTTTTAAAGGCATTTTTCTTCTTTTTTATAATTAACAACATAACCTTTGAAATATGTTGGACAATATGACCACTGCAAATGTCAGTGTTGCTAAGAAATATATATATATATATATATATATATATATATATATATATATATTTCTTTTTTTTTTAAAGAGAGAGTGAGAGAGAGAAAGAGAGAATTTTAATATTTATTTATTTTTTCTTAGTTCTCGGCGGACACTACATCTTTGTTTGTATGTGGTGCTGAGGATCGAACCCGGGCTGCACGCATGCCAGGCCAGCGCGCTACGGCTTGAGCCACATCCAGCCCAGAAATATATTTTTTGATTCTTAGCATAATTAATATGGCTATTGATATAGAGAACAGTGAACTATGATTATTATGTAATGTCAAATTATTATTTGTAATGAACTATACCATAGAGAAGCATATTGTGCTAACTATACATTTTAAGAATTATGTATGATTTTGACTGTCAATAATTATATAGATAACAATTATTATGAGAGAATAAATGTGGCAGCTTGTTACTTCAGAGACTTTATTTATAAATAATGTCCCCAGTTTATCGAAAAATTTTTCAAATCATTCTATTCCTTATCATAGTTAACCAGTTAACACTATGCTGATGATGAAACCAAAACTATGGATTTGATTCATCTTATAACAAGTTGACAATCCACAGAAGAAATTCATTTAATTTTTTTTTTTTTGGTACTGGGGATTTAACATTTTGGGGGCTTTTAACCACTAAGCCATATTCCCAGCCCATTTTATTTTTATTTTGTGACAGGGTCTCAATACATTGCTTGTGATCCTCCTGCCTCAAACTCCCAAGCTGCCACACCCAATGAAATGATCCATTTCATATGTAAGGCAGTATCCTGAATATGTTTTGCAACTTTTCTACAGCAAGTACTTGTTCATTGGTCGAAATGTTCTATATTAGTACACTAGAAGCCTACTAATCAAAGAACTGTAATTTGATTACTTTGAAGACTACAGGTACACATTGCAAACTGCCATCGTGTGGCTTACATTTAGACAGAGGTTCCTAGGATTATAACATTTTTATTAAGGTATTATTAATTTCATGGAATAGAATTATTCCATAAGGTCAAAGAGTGACATTTCATGTAAAAACGATGAACAAAAGACCATATTTCACTTATTCTGTTTGTATTTGGAGAAAAGAAATATTACATACCTCTTCTTTTTGAATTGGAGTCCCTATAAATGTCTGTGAAGTTTTACGGTAACCTTTTGTGGGTGAAGTTTGAGCTGAAACAACTGAACCTCGAGCTGATATATTTATACCTCCTAGAGAAAGAAGAGATTCCTTTAAACATGAGAAGATAATATTGCTGGGAAAAGGGCAAATACTATTTTACAACATTATCCCTGCTGCACATTTTCTCTGTTGAACTGTCAGAATAGCAGGAATTACCACAATCAAGTATTTATTTGAGTTAAGGAAGTATCTCCAAGAACAACTTGCCTGTTTTGATGCTTACTGTTACCATTATCTTTTTCGCTGCTGTGACCAAAAGGCCTGACTAGAACAATTAGCAGAGGAAAAGTATATTTTGGAGCTCATGATTTCAGAGATATTAGTCCATACATGGCCAGCTCCATTGCTCTCGGCCTAAGGTAAGGCATGACATCATGGTAGGAGAGTGTGGTGGGGGAAAGCAGGTCACAACATAGTACCAGGAAGCAGAGACAGAGCTCTGCTCAACAAAAATAAAATATATACTCCATAGGAGCCTATTCCAGCCACACCCTACCTGCCTAATTATTGGCCAGTTAATCTTTATCTGTGGACTAATGAAATGATTAGCTTAAGGCTCTCAAAACTCAATAATTTCACCTATACACTTTCTTGCATTGTCTTACACCTGAAGTTTTGGCAGATATCTCACATCTAAACTGCAGTGCTGGTTAAAATTTTCAATGGCTCATCATTTCCTTCAAAGGCAAGTTTGAAGTTCTTAACTTCTAACCCTAGTTCATTCAATAGTCCAGCTTATTCTTATGAAACTATCCATAGCTCACTGCTGAAATTAACAGTTTTCATTCAGTTGGTAATGAAAACAACATGTGACTCACACAGGAGAATAAATAAAACTGTTTTTTAAGAAGATTTCTTTCACAGTAAAATGTATGGTGGGTTAAAAGATGAAGAAATTATAGGAGGAAAGTTATTTCAATAGTAAAGCATGGAGAAACAAGGACAGAAGTAGTGGGCTAGAGATTGCTAGATGAGAGGATTGTTATTTTCTTCAAACTCTAGTCTCAGGAGGTCATAAAGGAAATTCACAGAATATATGTAAAGATCTTAAAGGGTCCAAAATGGTTGAAATAGCTAATAATCAGAAAAACTAGTAGGATATTCAAATAAAATCTTTTTTGGAGAACATTTTGGAAACACCCCCCACCAACAAATGTAAGGTATGATGTAATCAGATGGTATAGTGGATGTTTTTAACTAAGAATTCCTCTATATTGCTTATGGAATTTTAATATAATAATATAATTTTGGAGGTAAATTTAACAAGACAGTGAAAAT